TTTCAACAAATAAATATAAACAGTGTAGGACTTTTGGCTGTTTCATACACAGTGCCCACATTTTACGAGACTGAACATACAATCAAGGCGCCTAATTAGTTTTGTTAATGGCTGAATTGTTAAGTGCTCATGACTGACTCAGTGAAACAAATCCTTGAAAACAAGCAAGAAATAAAGACAGGGAGCGGTACAGGCCTGGCCATCTGTGTGTAGTAGATCTCTGCCCACAAACAGTGTTGCACCCTAAATTGAATGCTCGGAGTCACCACAACAAGCTAACATAATAAATAGAAGTTACTGTTAAAATGGTTTGAAACTTTAGAATGCTTAGTTTACCAAAGATAGTACAATATATTATATTATATTATATTATAGGCAATACTGGTATTAGTTTATGTTAACAATGCCTATAAAGATTTTAAACCAAGTGATGTGTTTGCCATACTCAGGAGTTACTGCTATCAGCAAAATGACTAACATTATGGACTAGCTGTGTCCATGCAGCAGTATATCCCTGTAAGCTGTTTTTAATGGGCCTCAGGAAACAGTGGCAGCAAAGCACTTTAATAATGGCAGCTGCTTCTGACTTTGGAAAATACACACTTGGGTTTAGACTCCTTGTAGACATTATTAGTGAGAAAAGACAATAAACAAAACCTGCCATTTCAATCCCGGCATTTGAGGATTAGATGAAGTTTGGATGGAGTAGTCACTGAAGAACTTGGGTTTCATTTAGCTTCTGTGGATTAACGACAGAGTCTCAACAGAGACCTGATACAGTAGGTCTGGGGAACACAGTGGCCAAAGTGACATATCGAATTAGTCACTCCTAACTTCTGAACCCTCGGGTAAAAAAAAAAAAAAAACTTTAGCCAGAAGAGAAGTTAATGGTTGGAGTAAGAAGGATGTAAGAAGAGTGTCTGTGAATGAATAAGCCTATTTCACATCATGGTGACAAACAAAACAGCGGGGAAATAGTGCAGCCTGAAGTACTGATACAGAACTCTGTCAACAGTATCTGCTGCAATGCATAATAAATACTGTGTATTTGACATTTTTTAACAGTTACTTCTATAATAGTCAAGGTATATTTAGTCATACTAGCATGCAAACTGATGTGTAATTGAGTGAGTAAGTGATTAATTATGGACACATGCGATATAACATTAAAAATACGGTATGCTTGTTTGTCGTCTTAAAATATATTGAGACGAAATTTAAATTGATAGTTGATCTTTGTGTGCTTTCTTAGTTATACGTTGTATTTAACACGTGTGGAAACTGAAACCAAGCCATTGTGGTTTACTCTGCATATTAAGTGGAACTATTTCTTGACCAATGGCAGCTGCTTTCACTGACTATCTGCACTATCTCAGCAGTGCTGTCCTCATACTTATGCTGCTGGTTTGTACCCTGTTGTAACAAAAGCCAAACTCATAACCAACCTGCAGCAGGGCTCCAGGGTGTGACCAATTTGGTCGCACATGCGTAGCCTTCCTACCTACTCAACTGTAGACACTGTTCTGCTGTTCCTTATTGTAAATGTACAGACAAGGTTTGTTTTGCATGTAGATTTGTTAGGTGCTGACTTGAAGTTGGATGTGATAAGGAGCTCAGGCTAACAGCCAGGAAAACATTCACTGTGTAAACTCGTCTGGTCTGAGGAGTCTTGGAGAAAACATTGGATAAACTTGTACTATTAAGCCTTGGACACGCTACATGACTTTCAAAGTCATCAGATCACTGTACTGTTCACACTACACAACTATCTGTCTCGTAATCTGGAGTCTTGAAGTTGTTGTGGTTCTCACACTACGTGTCTGATCAACAACAGGGGGGTCACACACAAGATCTTTAACACTTGGCATTAGGGACTGTGTGACAGTCAGCAGGACAGTGCTGATTTCCATGTCAATATGAATGACGACAGTGTGGTTATAGTACAGACCGGATGGGATGTCCCCATAATTAGCAGCACCCCTGGGTTTCCCCTCTGGGATGTTCTAAAATTACTGACCTTGAAATGAGAGGAAGACTGGTGAAGAGACAGATCTGTAGGTGTGAGGGAATCGCTGTGAACACGCACACCACATTTGTTTTACAAGTAACTTTGAATGCTCACAAAATTGCAATTGCAAAAAGTGTTTTTTTAAACTGTACTGACTACAAAGTCTCTCTGTAGTGGTACACAAGGAAGAATTAAGCCCTTGAAAACAAACAGTTTGCAACTAAAGCAGCCTGTTTTCTGCTATTCAACAAAACCATGCACATACAACAGGGTTTCCCGCAGCACTTTGCAGCTAAGGCAGCTGCCTTAGCAACACACGCCTGCCGTGTAGGCTGAGTGATATGAGCAATATGAGCGATATCCGCCGTGTTCCTCTATCCTGTTTTCTCCCTTTCATTCCAAACTGTGACCAATGCCAGTCTCCCTTCTCCGCAGAACGCATTAAAGAAATTATGAAAAACGTGCCATGAATCTGAAAATAATCAGTTTTTCTAATCTTTAAATATGTGATATGCCTCCGAATCGTGTGATGCGTCCGAACGGCGGCATCTGGTGGTTGTCATCGTGCTATCTATCATCGTTCGCCAAACATTCTACAACATTCTTTATCCGGGTAAAAAAACATTTTTGGGCGAAGACGTTCATCTGGCATTTGGATAGCCTGTTGCATCGAGGTAAATTATCTAAATTCTATAAATGACCTGTAAACTGTTCACTTGAAGTATCTGAAATTATTATGATAGGCGTAATGTTTTCTTATCAAGGCTAGTTGCGTTTACACGTGGTTGTCTTATAGCTATATAGTTTGATGAAAGCACGTGATCGTCCAATGGCAACCAATACCCCCCCCTGGTCTGACGGCCTACCACCTTGACTAACACATTTCCTGCGGGAAACCCTGTGTGTATCTATGTACAACATATGAACAGTCAACCTTCCCCTGACACAAATGTCCTAGTAAGAAACTTGGTGCCTCATGTAGAGGACCATTATAACTCATCTCCGTTCCTCTCTGCATTCCTAGGAACTAGTAGTCAGCCATTATCGGGAATGTCTGGAACAGTAATGAGGAGAGGTTCTTTAGGTGGCATGAATTAGGTGAGATGAATACCTGAGAGCGGGTAGAGAAAATGTCCTGTTTGTAAAAAGGTCACAGGGTTGATTTAATCAACAGGTGAATGCTTACAGTCCTGTAATGGTCCAAGTGTCCTTGAGCAGGAAGCTAGAGCTTGTGCCTGCTCACTGCGTGGAGGAGACCATCAGCAAATGTCTAAACACATGGCACGGAGAAATTATTGGCTATTTAAGCAGAGTTCTGGCTGTGTGAATGTCTTTGATATAACCAAAGAGGCACTGGTAAACCATTTGGCCAAGTCAAACTAACCATTTCTGTATTTAAAATGGAAAACTCATACATTACAGCACAGCACCAGTTTGGTATTGTATGTGTTCTGGGATCATGAAATGCCTTTAGTGTCTGCCATAGCAACTTGATATTGCAAACAAGCAACAAATTAGGTCTCTCAAATTGGAAACTGGTCTACAACCACCACACACACTCGTGCATTATATCTCTCTGCTGCAGCAGTCACTCACAAACATGACAAACACTGATTAAAAGATAAATATCCCGGTGTACATACTGCTATGTGTTGGGCTCCTTGAATCTCAAGCTACTTTCAGTGTAGGGACTAGATGCAGAGTAACCAGATTAGCTGCATCTGAGACTGAAAGGAAAATAATGGAGTCATTATTATGACTACCACAGAATAAAAGGAGGAGGATTTGTGAGGGAAAAATTGAGTCAAACTATCAAACAAGCTAATAATTTAGTTTTAAAATTTGATATTTTATAAAATCATCATTCTGAAATATGAAATAAGTGGGGGAAAAAAGCATATCTGACGGGTTTATGAAAGCACAGCATATATGTTTGTTAATTATTCCATCATTCGCCCCACTTTTATGAAACTTTAACAGAAACTTGCCATCGGCAGGATGAGGATTACTCATCCAAAGTGTGGTTTGGACCTTTCTGTCTAAACATAGCAGGGCTACAGCGCTGACAAACAACTGTGTGGCAACTCTGGAAATGTTGCTCATGTGATTAAAAACTTTTATCTTGCTGGGCACATAGGCATCAGAGACAGAGACAGAAACAGACAGAGACAGAGACAGACAGAGAGAGAGAGCCAGAGAGAAACAGAGAGAGAGAGAGAGAGAGGGACAGAGAGAGACAGAGAGAGGAGATGAGAAAAGAGACTGCTTAGATAGTAACTTCTCCGGGTTAGTTCAGGTTAGAGGTTACATATAAAAGACAGCCAGCAGGCAGACAAAAGCACCGCTCACAATTTATTCTCTCCGTTATCTCCTTCAAATATTAACGTTGGCCATTTGTTTGTGTTTGTGTCTCTAAGGTTTCAGGGACACTTGGCACTTAGTGTGGTCAGCTTTTGTGTATGTTTACACTGACCAGGGCAGCAACTAATGGTTATTCCATTACCATAAATGGATCACATAAAACAATTTCTGATAATCGTGGAAAATGCCTGCCACAACATGTGACTTTAAAATTCCCTGCTTTGTCCAAAAAAAAAAAAAGAAACCTAAAAAAGACATTCAATTTACTTTTAACTTTAATCACCAACATCCGTGAATGTTTGACAGATGGCTTTAAAGGGAGTTTATTAACTTTCTATCGACCACCTAATAGGTAACTTAGCGTCTTAAGGACTTCAACTGCTTTAATATTGTTTTTATATCGTGTTTCTCCCACAAGAGTTTAAATGTTGTTACATGAGTTTTAGGTAATCTTCCTAACGAGAGATGAGAGTTGTTAGCACACATCCCAGTTCCTTAAACACATTTGTAGTCTCACACACGGTAACTACGTTGTTCAACGTTAGCCTGCTGCGGTTAGATGGCCCGTTCATATCAATGTACTTAGTCCTTTAAAGTCTTGACAGATAACTTATTTCGGGGGTGGACTCACTTGTTTCCAGTCGCCTTCGTCTGCCCAAAGTCACTCCAGCGACGGCGGAACACTTAATAAATCCATGTGTGTTTTTCGGCGGCTTTTCGTCGTCTTTTCACCGTGAGTTGCTTTCTGTTTTCACTTCGCTGACGACTGGAGGCAACTCCTGCTTCAGAGTACTGACTTCTTCTTTAACTGCTTATTGGGCGGAGCCACACACACACACACGCACGCACGCACGCACGCACGCACACGCACACACACACACACACACACACACACACACACACACACACACACACACACACTTATAAAGACGGGTGAAATATTATATTTAAAGTGGTACGCCACCCTAAAAGGTGTTTTTTGAGCTGTAAACTGAAGTATATGACTGTACTATGGTGAAACCCATTAATGTTTTGTGTTTAAAATTAACACTAATAAAAGTTAAAAATGTCTCAGTACCCCATGTACTGTATTAAATCACCCTGAACCTTGTAAGTCTAATGCTGGCACAATCAAGCATTCAGGGTGACACATGATTTAGGTACTTCATGACATTTATATTATCAAAGAGTGTTAACAGAGTGATAAAGTCTCTAATCAGAGGAGGGCGACCCACCTCCCCCAGTCCCTGCTCTGAGTGGGTTTCTGTTAAACTGCTGCATTTTCAGATGTATACTCATCGAGATGCATCATTCACAGGAGTTTATGCTAGTTTTTGATAAACCTCTACTTTGTTTTTTTCTATTTTAGTGCTGTGGCTCGGACTTGTGCTTCAGATCAGTGGTTCCCAACCTGGGGGTCGGGACGCCTGTTAGGGGTCACCAAAGGAGATGGGCAAATATCGTGAGGCATTCTTGATTTTAGGCCGATATTATTGTCAGTATATTTAATGGGTAGAGCTTCCAGGTCTGAGAAGTGAAGCCAAAGCACTCTATGTAAAGATCAGCAGGGGGAGCTCCATTGAACATTATAGTAATTTTTTGTAAATTATGGACCAATTTAGAGTAAAATAGATGATAAAGCAGGGTATGCTTTATCATGAGTCTGTCAAACCAGGCAGTGCTGATCAGATACGAATAAAGATTCTGTTACTGTGTTACCTATTTCTCACCTGAAATCTATCGACCAATGTCAACAATGTGCAACAGTAGCTAATGTTGGCTTATAAGTCCAACAGGAAGTCCAGAGTCAAAGCTAACATTACTGCAAAGCTTGTGAAATATATTGTGATATAGTGGTTTTATCTGGCTAGCTAATTTGCTAACATAACAAAATACTGCCAGCGAGCTTTATCCAGACTCCCAGGATTGATCTGGCTGGCTTACTATCACATGGCAGGTTATAATTGTGGGGCAGCCAGCACCAGATAATGTCAGCCCTGGCCTTTACTACTTTACTGGCCAGATGTTTGATTTTACTGAAATGAAATCACACTTCTCCCCCAGATGGAGGGAAAAAGGCAAATTGGACAGGACCAGGCAGCAGACTAGTCTTAATGCTGTGCTAAGCTAACCAACTGCTACATACAGACACAAGACTATTCCTCATTAACAATGAAGTGTCTAAAAACAAAACTTATGTCAGCTAAAGTAATTTCAGTGAAATAAACCTTTAACTGACACAACCAACTGTTTAATGACAAGAACGCTCATCAGTCATAATGTAAAATCTTTACCATCCGTCCCATATTATGTGAACACGGCATTATATCACTTAAATAACAAATGAGTGTCACTAGGTTTGGCAACTTTTAAAACCCCCTGTGGCAGCTTCAGGAGACTGGTTACAAATCCAGTGACTTTTACATTAACTGTCTTCCTTTAAAGGAATAATCTGACATTTTGGTAGATACACTTAACTCACTTTTCCTGCTGAGAGTTAGATGAGATAATCGATACCAATCTCATCTCTGTGCTTTCACTATGGAGCTAAAAGCCCGGAGGCAATTAAGGCTGCCAAGGAGTTCGAGTCATCGGAGTGATCGTGTCCATTGTTTCTGCTAAATTCCTTGCAAACACAGTGACTGTTACCTGTCTGTAAACTGAGATATACCAGTTATACCTGTTACAGTGGGAGAGTGTTCCCTATTATATTAAGACCTGTTTATTATTAAATAAATGTGTTAAATCCTCTGGTTTATTATCATTAGGATTAATAGTCATGGTTTTATTTATGAATATTATTTAGTTATTGTTTATAAAAAGAAAAATCTGAAGTAGTCATATTAATTTCCTGGCTAGACAAGAAGTTCTGGTTAAACTTGTTTTATCAATAAACTAAGACATGCTTCATATGCTGTTATCAAGATTAAACCTGCACTCCATCCCCACTAGTATTCAGATTTATTGTTTCTGTTTTTCTTGTTTCACTTTATCTTTGTGTTTCTGACACTTCGACAGCGGCACTTGTACTCACCATTGTTGGCAAGAGACACCCAGATGGCAGTTGGAAGTCTGCAGTATGTGTGTGGGGGTCTCCAAACAGCAGGGGGCCAGTCCCCAGGCTGTCTTCTCTTAATGACCCAGACCAGGACAAAGGGGATCTGCTGTATGAGGGACTGGAGGGTCTACAGGGTCTTTCAGTGTAATAGAACCACAGCTGGTCACCCCATGGAAACAATGGTCACTCAGCCTGTGCTCCTAAATAATAATATTCACATGTGATTATACTGTGCATGAACATGAACCTTGTTTTCACTCTTGTCTCTTTAAGGTGATATTTTTTCTCTCTGTAAGACCATTTACTTTCTCCGCTCTCCCCAAACTGCTCAGCAGAACAGAGGAGACCCCTTTCAAACACTGCACTGTATATTGACTGAGACTCCAGGTCTGTTATCTTGATGGCACAGATACCCAAATATCTCCCCAAAACAACAAGTAGACAGTTATACAATCCCTATGGTAGTGAGGTGAAAAGAAACACGAACAGCTAGTCGCATAACATAGTTACAGGCAAAAATATGTTGTGGTGCTGTGAATGAATGAAGCTCTGAAAAAAGCCAAACGTGGAGCTTGTTTGCAGCCAAAACGCTCTGAAACTGTGGCCAAAACAAAGCAATGTAGTGAAATTTGAAAGAAAGCCAGGTTGTTACCCAAAACATCCCTGCCTTTAATTGGTCCACAATGCCGTGTGATTGATTGTGTTTCTTTCATACTGCACTTTTATCACCTGCTCCATAATGAATTACTTGTGTTAAGGAGCAGGTGAGAGTTTTTAAGAATTCCGTTACACAGATATTCTTGAAATTAATTAGTGCTGGTGAGTCAAGGTGGAAATTACATCTGTTCCCATTTTGCCCCACAGGCTCCTCCGGTACAAATAGTCATTGTTGCCCACAAACTACTAAAAACACATAAATGAGTCAGTTATTTAGAGTCAATCCCTCATACCACCCTGCTGCTGTAAAGGCTCACCACTGCCCCATATGTGTATTAATCTGTGGTCGAAAATAGTTCCTAACAAATGCACTATTGTACTCCTCTTTTAGGACATGACTGAGCCTTTAAATGAAGCTATATATTTGTAATCTAAAGATTTAGTCAGTAAGAACCATTGCTCTTTGGGCTATATGACACAGGATAGGGAAGTCAGAGAGTGAGATTGACTAACTAGCGAATATTTTAACAATAACATAAAAATGTTAAATAACTCCAGTCTTATTCTTTAATGTATACAGAAGCAGGCCAATTTGTTCCTCATGGGTTGCTGAATATTTCTTGCTTTTCCTCCTATTTGCTGGCAGAGCGAATCAATATATACATTATACGTATTTTAAGGATTAATAGAGACATGATGGATCACAAATGTCATTCTTCTTAGTAGAAAATGATTCCAGTTCCTGACATTAATTACTTCCAAGAAGTAATTGCCTTATATTTCTCACAGATTACTGTCATACAATGAATACACGCATGCATATGGTCCACACCCTGCTGTGGGGAAGGGTTAATTGCTTCCCGTGCATTAGAGCCCTCCACCAATCATTGTGTCATCAGAACAGAGGGCAGAATGCTAATCTAACAACGTTAAGATAGGATCGGATGACCACGGAGCAGCGTGTGTGAAGGAGCCCGCAGACAGCCAGGACTCAGGTGTCTGCTCAGTCCACCTCCCAGAGTCTCAGGTGGTCAGTGAGGCGTTGTTGCTGTGTATGTGATCACCCAAGGGTGTCTGCAGAGCACATGCTGGCACTCCTGCCACTGCTGGCACCCAGCTGCTCATGTATCAGGTTTAATCAAAGTGGGACAAACGCACGCTGATGTAAATGAGGTGCAGGAAAAGAGAGTGAGGAATTGTGTGAGCTCGTCTGAGCTCACTCAAGAAGCTCAGACGAAACAATTTATTCAAACAAGAAATGTTTTGACAGACTACATATCTGGGGTTTTGAGATGTATCGAGTATCACTTCAAGTTTGGTCACATGGCAATGGGAACACCCCTAAGCTTTGCTGACACTGGATAAAACATGGAACAAAGGATGTGAGCAGGACTGAGGATTAGCATAAAACAGAGTTTTGCTCAGTAGCATCAATGAGGTAGTCCCAAAGTTGCAAGGTTGGTTTTCCGCGTGGGGACGCTAGGGGGAGCGGGGAAAGTCACCATTAGCACTGGAACAGGCCATTTAACCATCCAAATTATTTCTAAACGGGTTTATTAAGTTGAAATAGTTGCTAAATAATTGCCGAAATCTGAAATTAAATTAAAACCCTTGTCTTAACTTTAACTTCATTTGGAGGGTCAAAATGTGCTTCGCTTCTATTCCAGCTGTCAATCTGGTACTAAACTCTTTATTTTTGTTGTGTGTGAATAATTATCTTTCTCCAGGTTCTCAGATTTGTCACCATTCTTCTGTGTTTATAATGAATGAGATACTGCTTAATTCTTGATGGTGTAGGTGATTTACGGCTTCCAAGGTAACAGAGCCAACTGTGCCACACAGACACACACGCAAACACACACCAAACAAACACAGCTTCCAGTGAAAATGTTGATTGAGAAACAAGAGACTATAAAAGATAAATTGTAGTAACACTCCACTACATGTGGTATTTTTTACTGTGCTTCAACGGTTGAAATTGTCAGAAACAGCGGCATTTGCCACACACCCACACACACACATGCTAAACACTGAGCTAATGTACAGCAGCTCTCCTCTGGAGATAGTGTTTAGAAACCCTTTGT